TGTTTTTTTTTTGGTTTTTTTATTTTATTTTTTTTAGCTAAGGGTCCCTTACGATATTTTTCTTCTGATTTTATATTTTTATCTTCAATATCAATATTATCTCATGGCATTGTAATAGCATTGGTTATTTGATTTATAGTCCAACGTCTGTCATCCATCACCTTGTGGTGAACACAATCAATTTCTTTCTCAGTGTTGGCAGTTGTGGGACTTCCAGAGATAGGGTAACCTTCAAGGCTCACCATTAACTTCCTAAATTCAGCTGCCCACATTTGCAATCTTGATGAAGCTGGGACATCTCTTAACGTAGCAACTACTTCAGCAGGAAATAACCCTTTTTTTCTGCAGGTACTTCTTAATACGATGATGCCAAATTTTGTGTATTTTCAAATGAAGTCACTTCTAAGACTTTAAGAATTCATAGCTTAATCCTCCATCTTTCATAGTCTGTCTGTGGACTTTTCAGTCCACTTTCGTACACATTTGTTTGTCAAAATTATTTTTAAATTCCCATAAACTTCGCATTAATTATATTAATCGAACATTATAGAATGAACATTTTAGATCACAACCCAACTTATAACTGCATAGTGCAACATAATTATTGATACAAATTTCTTTCATTAATTCCTATAATTGTTCTGTTAGGTCTTTACATTTCCTCATTAGTCGTATGCTTTTTTATGCACGTTTACAAGGTCTTTTTTTATATAAACTCATTTTTCCATAAGCTTTGGTTTAATTGTTGATATTTACAAATACGTATCTTAGTCTGATATGAGACGAAAATTATAGAGCAGTATGTAATCATCAAGAAAGATTTACGGTTGTATTAACTATCATGCTCTCAACTATCACCAGGTATTCTGATTGGTGTTTTCTTTTTATATGTTCAGATGTAGGCATTCATATAATGCACGTTTCTCATACTTGAAATTCGCATCTACAAAATGGGATTAACTATCAAATATAAAAATAAAGAATATATGGTCGTCAGTAAGAAAGAGAGAGAGAGAGAGAGACCAAGTAAGAGTTCCTGATTGGAGACGAAAGTATGATGCAAATACAGTCGTTTAACATTTGACAATCGACGGAAATTTTGACGCAGAGTCCCGATGGCTCCTTAGAATAGAGAAAATGTTCTCCGTAAAAGAAACAAGAAATAAGATACGTAAATATGTTCAGAAACAATATGGTTCTGAAAATCTATGTAATAGCAATCCTTCTATACAGCAGTGAATACTGGAAAATTTCTTCACAGGTGAATAGGTGACTTCAGGTAACAGAGATGAATTCAGTGGACGGGACATGTGATCAATGAGAAGGTTTTAACGAAAATATTAAGAAAAAAGAGACACATATAATATAATCAGAAAGAGTTGAAATAACTAGCATAAATAATGATGAAAGACGGTTTAGAGAATTTGGTTCTCACGGGGTATATTGAATATAAGCTGAAAAAAGGTTTAACTTACCTAAACAGTTATGCAAATGAACGAGAAAGCTGACCCTGGAAGGATGCTGAACGAAGTCTTACTTAGATCTTCAAACGATATTGTTGAAACTTGACTAATGCATGGGATAATAATGCAACACAAAATGTACTTAGAACAAAATGTATTGAAACAAGAAAGTGTACACAATATTTACATATAGTCTTTTGTATATTCCTGGTAAGACCGTTCCTGGAGAATGTGTTGACTTAGTCGCAGTCGGGCAGAGTCTCTGGTTGAATCTCTTGATTCCTCCCTCTCTTCCCGGTACAAACCATATTTATATGGTCGGTACTCCACTATGCAAATTAGGTGGATCCTACCACAACAGATATGTAGATGTGGAGAGCTGTAATCGCTCATGACTTGAGGGGATAGAGTGCATATAAGAAAACGAAGGATTTAAGAATTAAACATTTACTGCGATTTTCGATTTATTTTATTAAGTTTATCACTGAGTGAGAGAGAATGACACCAAACACGCCAGAGTGGAGTACAAGTATATTAAGTCCAATATACCCATCATGAAATGGAATCTGATAAGGGTATACCAAGCACATGCGGCTCAGTCAAATACGTGAGATACTCTTCCAAGATTTGATAAAAGCAGCTCATAACATTCCAAGTGGGACTCAGTGAGCAATACTTTCCGGTCGAGTAACGCAGTCTGTTTAGACGATTTTCGATCGAGAGTCTTCTCTAGAATCAGGACGTGATTCCAATGTCATCTTGTCTACTTCATTAGTTAAACATGAAAAACGACCTTCTCGACAGACGGTCATGACGCTTTCGCAGAATTCTCGCTGATGAACCGAGATGCATAGAGTATCAGACCTGAGGAGGACATGCCCAAATGCTTATGGCCAGGTAACTGACGAGTCAACCTGCGGCATCGCACAGGATAATTACTCTACCTCATACTTATCCACCAATACAAAATCTGCACTAGTTAACAACTGCATTGAATTAACACCAAAACTCCTTTGATCCATACCTGCTGTAGCGTCATACATCCAATTCTGTTGTTATCAGTATTAGTATTACTGTCTTGCCTTTTATTTAGTTCCATCCAGTACCGGATCTTTATACTCTACCTTTTCAACTTGAAAATCATAATAATCAACTTTAAAATGGACTTATTTACAAGTAAAAAAATTAATCAGCTCCAAAATGGATTAATCAACTTCAAAATGGAACAATCAACTTCAAAATGGATTAATCAACTACAAATTGGATCAATCAACTTCAAATTGGATCAATCAACTTCAAAATGGATTAATCAACTTCAAATTCAGAAAATGTCAAAAACCTAAAAACAATCAACTTCAAAATGAGAATAAACAACTTCAAATTGGAATAAACAACTTCAAATTGAGATATTTTTTGGTAAATTGAAATATTCGATGTATTAGTAATAATTGATTAATTCATCATAAAATTAAAAGAGGTTCTTTCAAAAAAGAGGATGCGAAAGAATGGACCAGGGAGTGCCTTAGAAAGGCAAATGAAATTTATGAAAGGGGAGTTGTCTTAGTTATTGATAACGCTCCTTGCCATACTTCAATTGAAGACGTTGTGGAGGAGGATGAATATAGGCAACACCAAATTTTCAGACTTGCCCCCTATAGTCCGATGTTAAATCCCATTGAAAAGGTTTGGTCAGTCATTAAAGCTGACGTAAAAAGAAGTATGGCAGACTCAATTGTTGGGATATTAAGAGGTGATGGCCAGAGATCTTTAACTACTAAAGAATTCCGCCTCAGCAAATTAGAAGCGATGATCTCCGAGGCAATTAATAATATTTCCCCTGAGACTTGCACTAACTTCGTATCTGGAATACAAAGATTACTTCCCACTGTAATTAACTTAGATTATGTAATCTTTTAAATAAATTTCTTAGGAACGTTTATATTTTTTTATATCCATTTTAAGTAAAAATAAAAGAAGAAATATTAAATTTATTAGTATTATATTAATTCTCAATTTGAAGTTGAGTAATCCAATTTGAAGTTGATTATTTCTCATTTTGAAGTTGTTTTCCAATTTGAAGTTGATTAATCCATTTTGAAGTTGGTTAATCTATTTTGAAGTTGTTTAATCCATTTTGGAGTTGATTATTTTTTTTACCTGAAAATAAGTCCATTTTGAAGTTGATTATTATCATTTTGAAGTTGAAAAGGCATAGAGGCAAAGTTAAGGCAAGGTGAGAAATAGATGCATTAATTTTGCATAACTTCTGGTTTTATTCGCTTGACCACTCCACCCCACCGTTAAGACAGGATATGGCACAAGGTCGTTTTATATGTGAGAGATCATACACTGTGAAACTTGATATAATATGGTCACTTGTTACTGGATATTTATGACAGAATCTGCATTTGGGGGTGAACACAATTTATCATTATGTGTGCTTGGTAATTTCATACAACCTTATTATCTGTGTATGTTCCGTTTCTTGCTTTGTATTCTGTAGAGCCATTCCAGACTATGGTCCTTAGTCTCTATATGAGAATTGTCATTTAATTGATAGCACTTTTCTTAGGTCATGATATGTTCTTAATAAGGCGATTATCTGGCCACTTGTATATTGATTTTACCTCGGTCAATGTTAGTAAAATTATCCATTCCTTTTCTCACGAGGCCCAGATTACTATTCGTACAGCCTCCGTCTTCATTCCCTACATTCTGTTAATCTCGATCTCCAGATCCTTGTATTTAATACTATTATTATTATTATTATTATTATTAGTAGTAGTAGTAGTAGTAGTGTGTTGGAGTCGCACAATTTAATGGAAATTCTGTTCTTGAGGTATGGTAGCAATAAAGCTCCTCACAACTCAAGAACCTTTAGGAGTATCCTTGCAGATTTAATAATGGCAGTGTTGGTCTCACTTCTAAGTTTCCCTAAGTGCTCTTTCCGTTTTCTAGGGAGTGTGCAACCATTACAACAAGAATTAGTTCTACATTCATGTTCCATAGTTTCTTCATCTCCCTAGACAGATCCGGGTATTTTCTGTTATTATTATTATTATTATTAGTGTTGTTGTTGTTGTTTTAAGGCTCAGTTACAGCTGCCTTGTGCACGTCGTTTTATTCTGGTTCCCTAACTTTTAAAATGATTCATCATCGATTATTTTCTTTGCTGTTACTTTTTTACTTAATGTTTTTTCTCTGATTTATTTACTACATTCATTTTTTTTCTCGTATATCTTTTGAATTCTTTTCTAATTCTTCGTTTCACCCGTTTATTAGGATGGGAGTCTTATATTTTATAGACTGGCGCATATGCATGCGTACGTAGGCAACGTCTGTGTTTTACCATTTACGCACATTTCGTCCAACAAGGCTTCACTTTCTAAATTCTTCATCTTTCCAGTTTCTTGATACCTCAGTATTTAGCCGCAAGATATGCGAAGCGAGCTATGCTTTGCCTCGATTGGCCAATCAACTCGCTTCATGCCCTACATATACAAATCTTATTCATTTTTGGCGGGAACTATTTCAAGAATGTATCTCTTAAAGTCGGTTTTTTGCTTCTCTTATTCAGTCTTTTTCATCCACTCTCTTCCCTCTCCCTCCCTCTCCCTCTGTCTTTGTCTGTCTGTATGTCTGTCTCTCTCTGTCGCACCCCACTTTTGCATCTATTTTTCTTACTGCCTGGAGTTCTTGTCGCGGTGAACAATTTAGCGCGCATATCCCAAGGCAAGGATTGAACTAGTTATGTATGGATTCACGCCCATCGACGGTATGCAAAACTGCACCCACCCCAATATGTGGTGAGACTATTCTAACGTCAGTGGCGTGTATCTTCAACAAACATCTAACATGGCTTACAGGCGGGAAAGGAACTTTATTCTATTTTATTTTTTGTTATTCTCAATATATTGAGTTCTTATTTTGCAGCTTTTAGGAACTTCTTTTATTCATGCATTCATAAAAGATTTTAATGCACCAAACCCTGGACTATAAAATTGACATGATAACAGACTTATTAACTGACTTCGATCTCTAATTGCTTCCTCAGAAGTAAATATATACATCATGTCACCATGAGGACACGTTAACATTTTTATTTTTTTTTATTTTAACACAAGAGCATTTTGGTGGTTTGCATTTTGTGTCAAGGTATAATTAGATCTTAATCTTAAAACTTCTCCACGATTTAATCGTCGGTAACAAGTGTGGGATTTTATATGATTCCTAACTTCTCAGGATCACAAATGGTGTCACTAGGTCGGTAAGTTTATTTTGAGATGTGTTTTCTTTTACTCCAATAGGTATTATACCTACCTTTATTATCTTCTTTTTTGCTATCCTTAAGCAAGTTCTTGGTATATATTTTCTTTCACCTACAGAGTTCCAGATTGTGACTGGCTGAAAAGTCAAGACCAACAATCTAACATGTTTATAATTTTTTAAAATGTTTCATTAGTATCAAGGTCTAGGTGTGTTATTAATATGAGGTTTCTAACTGATCTAGTAACCGACAGTGTGAAAACTCCAGGACTGACTACAAAAATAAAACTCCCTAACACCACATTTTCCACTAATATCACACCGTATTTACAATAACAGTTTGAAAAGTATCCCTAATCCTTGAAAGGATGTCGAGCCTTGTCTAGGTGAACATATATATATATATATATATATATATATATATATATATATATATATATATAGGGTATATAGGTGACCGCAAAAACGGGAATTTTTAAGTTTCCTATTGCCTGACATAAGCAAGTGGCAACACTGCGAGACAGTGACCTTGAGAAAGTAAACATTTCGCCAAGTAGAATTCAAGATGAAATTCACAGTATTCCAGCTGAGATTTTGCAGCAGTCAATGAGGAATCTCAACAGCAGATTTCAAGAATGCATCCGTACAGGAGGACACCATCTACAGGACGTAATTTAAAAAAAAATTGAAAATGCCATCATTGTTTCTTAAATGGCGTGTTTTAAGTTTTCAATTACTATGAATAAAATGTTTTTCTCCCATCACTCTTGGTTTTATTGGATTGTTAAAAAGTTCCTGTTTTTTGGGTCACCCTGTATATATATATATGTGTGTGTGTGTGTATAATTTATCTTAATCCTTTTAAATTGTTGTTGTTTGAATGATTTCTTATTTGTAATATCCGTATACAAATCAACATCTTTTTCTTCTTTTTCTTTTCAACTTCCTATCTTCTGTAGTTGTCAGAAAGTTTTGTTTTACCACCATCGTTCTCGGTGTCTTTTCAGCCATTCATTTACACAATCTCGTTAAGAGATTCTTTGCTGTTTCCATCTTTGTTATTTTACCAGAAACATGTCCCGCGAATGACAAATTTTCCAATGAATTCTTCAATTTTGTTTGCATTTTCTTTAAAACTAACATGTTCCCTCCATTGCATTCCCAGCCTTCTGTTGTAGAACATCATTTCTGTTGATCCAACTCGTCTCTTAATCTGTGACTGAATTACCCAGCATTCACTGCCCTATAGGAGGACGGATTTTACATAAGACTTTAGTGCCCCATTCTTTGTTTCTAATGAAGTTTTCCCGTTTCTTAATATTATTGCTTTGCTTTTGGAAGGACCCTTTCGCTATTTCAATGCGCATTTGGAGTTTCCTGTCATTTTCCCATCCTTAGCTAAGATATTTTCCAGATATTTAAATGTTCTTATTTGCTTCAATTTTCTTAAATTATTTATTTCTCAGGCAAGAACAAATGTGGAAGAAGTCAAATGTTAACGCTACGCCAATCTTTCAGAAAGGAAGGATGTACATGCAATCTAAATCTTGGCTTTTACCAAGGATTGAACGTAGCAACTGAAACTGCAAAGAATGACCAATACCTCAACCCTTTAAGGTTAAATCACACTAAAGGAGATTTTCCCACCATATCGTTGAATTTGAACATCCACGCGCACAGGGATAAATTATCCAATTCCTAACAACACATTTTGCTGTTTGTCTAGACCAGCTGAGAGGTTATACTCCCAATGAGACTTCTCGACTTGAACATCTACTGTAGCTCACCAGACCTTATATCTGAAACATCACGAATGATGCTCGAAATGTTACCTGTTCCTTCTACCGTTACAGGATGTACTTGACTCCTCCTGCCATGATCTCTCTTTATAAAAGTCAGATAAGACCAAAACACGAAGTATAGCAGCTGTACCTGGTCGGTATATCTACACAGACTTGCTGGAAGTTTAAAACGTTTACGCAGTCTTTCAGGTAATTAATTATTTTGAAACGGAGAACTCCTTTCCCACGGACGAAACTATTCAAGAAAATGTTCAGAAGAGTAACATTCCTTAGTTTCCCCAGTTCAGACATTCATAATTATGACTCGTCATGTCACGTCCACTGTACAAAACCTCAGGGAGGAGTGTGAACCAGACAATAAGCGAACCTATCTAATCCTATTAAGGAAAATAAAATTATATAACATTTCATAGTTTAGGTGGAGACGTTAGGAGTATAGCGTTGACGTAAGCTTTATGAGGATCCTGAAATCCAATACTAAACAGGAATCAAGGGGTAAACTTCTATTCCTATCCAAAAGACCGGGAAGAAGAGCGAACTGAAGGATAAGCGTACCAATTTACTCCTGTTGAGGAAAAAATAGATAAATAATAAGTAACATTTCAGGGTTTAGGCGGAGTCATTAGGAGTATAAGTCTGAAGTAGACTTTAGGCGGATCCGGAAACCGAATCCTAAATAGGCCACAGGAAATAATCCTCTACTTCCATTCAAAAACCAGACAGGAGGGTGAACTGGATGATAATCGAACCTATTTAATCCTAGTGAGGAAAAAATAAATAAATAGTAAATTACATTTCAGACTTTAGGCGGAGACGTTATGGGTATAGAATTGAAGTAGACTATAAAAGGGACCGGAAACTGAGGATACGCCACTACTCCTGTTAAAAATAAAGTTATTGAGTTGCTTGGGTGATTTCATGAGTACGTAAGTGGTACAAATGATCCTGATATATTGTATTCCTCTAGTAGCCGTCTCCGTATTTTTATGCTAATTTCTAGTGCTTCTATTATTATCGGCACAGGTATTGCGTTTGAAGGGTTTCTTTGAGAGAATAAAGAAACTTACTGAAAAAATTTCGGCGCCATTTTTCATTGTTATCGTGAATTTTATCAAATCTCAAACAATGACTATCACTATTAGTCAAAATTAATCTATCTCTGTGTGTGTTTGCGCATATAAGACGCAATTATAAAATGGAATCAACTAATTTCCTGATACCGTTTCTTTCCGAAAGAAATAAGAAATAAGTTTACTAACAAATCATACAATTAGTGAAGGCTAACAAATGGATCAGCATAAAGTTTGTAACGATCACATGAATTTCACAGTCGGCGTGAGGGGGTGGGTGGCAATTTTCTAAACCAACATCGAAATACTAAATTATTCCTCTCACAGTTATAAGCAATTGAATTCTCTTTTAATGTAAGTCTATGCCCCGTAGGATGGGGGAAGTTACTGTAAAATATCTTTGCCTCCCATAACTAGAAGTAGTTTGGTTCGTTATTTTTTTTTTTTTTTACCTGGCTCATATGGGATTCGATTATCAATTCGAATTACAAATTTCGGACAATTTTATTTTCCTTTCCCCGATAACAGCGTCTTGATTGCCCTCATAACTTTATTCTGCCTCGCTATGACTATATCACGATAAGCTTCCGAGTGGGTTTGTAAGTACATATGTGTGTATGTGTGTATTAAATTAGAACCGATATCAGTACGTTATTATATTTCCATCATCAAACGTCCGTTCCTGGATTTGACATATATTAGATATTAAATCTCTTGGGTAGTTAGTTCATAATCACATTTCTTTTCTCTGATTTGCAATAAATGTCTTATTCTTGAACATATAGAACGAATTCTACTGGAGATAACAAATAACTTCCGTAATGTCTCGTTCCAATATTCAAATCGTTTCTTCCTACAATGAAAACTTTATCAGCAACTGCGACTTGTGTTTCGAACTGTTACGACCATCAACAGACATTGAAGGATGGGGAAATACAACTGTAGCGAATAAACAAAACATAAAAAGAAAACATCAGCCTAACATTAAAAAAAAAGTAAACAATCATTCGTCTTCCCCACTTAAAGAAATGGACTAAGCCAGATTATGTAGAAAGTAAAGTGAGCAAGGAATTTGTGGATAGTGTATGTTATCAGCCCGGAAAATGGAATCGACCAGCCGGGTTCAAATCCCAGGCTAACCGCCTGCATTAACTTTTGCACAAATGACCTTTGGGTAGATATGAAGCTGCCTCTTCTCCACCGGCTATATGTAGGTTAAATACAATTATCGGTTCGGCTCTCTACATTTCAAATTGCAACACACTTAAGAGAAGGAAAATTCTGTATTTGAAAATGTGGAGACGGAGACGGGAAAACACACCACAATATTTCACAACAATGAATGAAAATTATCTGATAAAAATAAACAAACAACTGCTGAGCGCCATGATTACCTACGTCGGGAGGTATTATGACATTCAAAGAATATAGCTATGGAAAAATAGATTAAATACTAATCAACTGTGGAATTCTTCTTGCGACGAGAAAATGTATACCTATATTTCTGAAACTGTCCTGTTGTCTGTGGGCAACAGAAATCGGGTTATACTGTATTATACTATATCTCTTACATGGATCACACGGCAAATATAATTGCAACTACTCAGAAGTGATGTCCTCAAACGGCAAGAATAATAAACACGAAACGAAAATAAACATTGAATGAAAACATATCCCAGTTCGTCATTGGTGGCGCTCAACATATTCAACACAATTTACAATGCCTTCCATGAGATTTTCATAAAGGCACTGTACAAATTAGGGAATTATATCCGACATCCTAGCATTGTGTTATTTGGGGTTTTTCGTTTTCTACGGCTTATCCATCCTTTGCATGCTATTTAAAGTCAGAAAAATATCTTTAATGGGAAGAACTTTTGTTTTCGATATAATAATGGTTTAGTGATAAAAGTCTGCCTAATTAACCCATACCTGTTGGCGAGAAAAGGTAGATTCATACCTTTTCCCAATAGTATTGGCGCGTAAATGAATATAACGAACCCAATGGGAATTAGAGCTCGGGTCTCCAATTAAGAGATTCGAACCATTATCTATTACACCATCTTCACATCCAATCTTACAGCACCTGTTATTCCCAAGCGGTCACTCATCTAGATACTGACCAAGCTCCATGTTGTTTACCTCCGTACGGGAACTAGTGTTTCAACATGATATGGCCGAAAGACTCCTTAACTCGATGTACAATGAATTCCATGTGATTTTGACAAAGACACCGTACAATTAGCAGGGAATAATAAATATTATGGCATTAGTTCCTATGTCTCATCTGACCTAGAAAAACATCGTCTTGGTAACGTTTAATATTGCCGTTGTGACGCCTGATTATTACAGTCAATTTCAACTATTTCGTGTTGTAAGAAAGACTACATTGGTTAATCGCTTAGGCTTTATTAGTAGTGCTGTGCAAGCTGTGGATGGCCTGTGATTGTTTGGTTTGTTCTGCTAGACTTTACAAAAATAACTACCGAAACGGGAGACTTGCTACAGTTCATTTGCGTTCGTTTACGCTTATCATATTCGTCAATGATGGGGCGTTCTAATAGTTTAACGCACCCTTCATGTTTTGCGTAGGTGACAAGAAATTAACCCCAGGAACGCTCGATTGATATATACAGCACTATATATCGAACATATATCGTCGGAAGACAGGTCATCTAAGAGAAAGAAATGTTTCCAAACGTCCGGGCCTTGTTTGGAAACTGCTTAGGTAATACAAATCGAGTATAATTCATTCCAAATCGGTGTCTTCCAATTTGCGCCAAGCCATTATAGAAGGGTAAGCCAAAAAGGTGGACATGTATCTGATTGATTCAAACTTATATGTATATGTGAACATGTATATGCATATGTATATGTGGACATGTATATGCATATATGGAGATGTATATGTATATATTGACATGTATATGTATATGCGGACATGTATCTGATTGATTCAAATATATATGTATATGTCGACATGTATATGCATATGTATATGTGGACATATATATGTATATGTAGAGATGTATATGCATATGTGGAGATTATATGTGTATGTATATATGTGGAGATGTATATGTATATGCGGACATGTATCTGATTGATTCAAACATATATGTATATGCCGACATGTATATGCTGTTGTATATGTGGACATGTATATGTATATGTGGAGATGTATATGCATATGTCGACATGTATATGCATATGTATATGCGGACATGTATATGTGAAGATGTATATGTATATGCGGACATATATCTGACTGATTCAAACATATATGTATATGTGGGCATGTATATGCAAATGTAGAGATGTATATCCATATGTGGACATGTATATGTATATATGGACATGTATATGTATATGCGGACATGTATTTGATTGATTCAAACATATATGTATATGTGGACATGTATGTGCATATGTATATGTGGACATATATATGTGGAGATGTATGTGTATATGTGGGGTTGTATCTGATTGATTCTAACATGCGAACTGGTAGCGATATAAAAACTTGCCCATTACTCAACTTTTTTCACTTAATAGCGAAATTAGGTTCATAATATTAAATTGTTCCTTTTTTTCGTGGGTAAATTATTTATTTTGTTCTATTTGTTTTGTTTTTTTTAATTAATCTTAATACTTGCAAAAATAAGGCAATCATTGGTAATAGGTCAGTTATTACTCTCGGGGTCTTCGGGTGCCTCGAGATGGTGTAATGGTTAGAACGCTTGTCTCGCTAGAACAGTTACGACTGAGTTCGATCTTTACTGGATGCCCCTATAACTTCTGCCTTGTACCAAATCTGAGCTATGCTTGGAAGATCACTGGGTCTTTCTAGAGTTTTGAAAGCATACGGCACATTTAAACTCCTTTAAAAAACGATAAAATTAAATTTATGATTTTTTTTTTAAATATAATTTATCCAATTTTAAAAGTAATATTTAACATCTAACATTGTTTCGGCTAATAATTAATTCAGTTATTATTCGGATATTCATTTCATAGAAGAAATTTAGAAATAGATTGCAATAACATCTTTCTAAGTAAACTGAAATTTAAATTTGGAAAAATTCTATTTTTCTATTCTCAATTTTTCTCGTAAATTTGATTTTCACCGGTCAAATCTACGTGATTTCCATATTTTCCAGGTTTTCCTTGTTACTATCATATCTTATTTATTTCAGTATTCGATTCCCATTCACAAAACAAGTTTTTTAGTGGCCTTTTACCTTTTCTGTTCTCGGCTAAGTATGGTCAATCTGTCCGCGTAGATTTTATTATTGTATCGTTATCATCATTGTGTGGCTATTTCTTTCTTTTTCATTATGTACTTTTTATTTTCGGATGCTTTTTTAAATAATATTCTTTTCATATCTGATGGTTCTTGTCGGAGATCAAGTGACCGCAAGTCTACGCAAACTGCCACGACATTTTCATCGATAGAATAGCGAGGAAAACCGTTTGCTTTCTATTCTTTCATGGATCTTTTTAATACGACCAATAATTTTGCAGAGCCCTTCAGGTCATTATTATTATTATTATTATTATTATTATTATTATTATTATTATTGTCGCAAGGGGGGGGGTATTCCTATGCTTATTATATTTGCATCGTTATTTTTTTTAATAGATTTTTTTTCTCCTTCTCTTTCTCCATTAATACCCTATTTTCCATATTGCCTACTTTAGACCGCCACCCTTCTGCACATTTCAGAAAACGTGTTCACACGACCCTTTTCTGTTTAACTCCAGATCCCTACCACTCTCTTTGACGTACTTCTGCACAGTCTTACGTCTTTACCTTAAAAAATTCTCTTCCTTCCAATGTTTTCTATTTATATTTTCTCTCTCTCTCTCTCTCTCTCTCTCTCTCTCTCTCACGATTTTTCTCTTTCTTTTTATTTATTTCTATCTGCTTCACTCTCTCATTTGCTCTTATTCTTTTTCTCTTTCTTTCTCCTCCTTACCATTAACCATCTCGTCAGTGGCCATTTATTTTATTTATTCTCTTATATTCTTCTTTCCGCTTAACACTTTTCTTTATAGTATTTTTAAACGTTGGCTTTTATTTATCTTTTCGTTTTTAATTCATTTATTTTTCCTCTTCTCATACAATAGAATCTTGTATTTTTTCTCTGTTTTTTCTCCTTATATCTCTTCTTTTATTTATCATTCTTTGATTGATTTTATAATTTACGCCATCTCTTCCTTTTCGAAATAGCAGAATTAACAACACCCTCTCTTATTTTTCTGTCTATACTTTTCTATCTCTTTGCATGTTTTCTTTCTTTTTATTATTTCTTTTTAATTCTTTCTTCCTTTTTTATTTTTATTTTTATTCTTTCTTTTTCCCTTTCTTCTTTTATATTCTTTCTTTGTTTCTCAATTCCCTTTTCCTTTCCTTATTACTTATCCCCATTTCTTGATTTTTCCCTTTCTTTCTTTCTTTCTTGCTTGCTTGCTTGCTTTCTTTCTTTCTTGCTTGCTTGCTTGCTTTCTTTCTTGCTTGCTTTCTTTCTTTCTTTCTTTCTTTTTCTCCTACTTTCATTTAAGGTCTTCCCTTGTTCACCTCGGCGTTTTCGAAACGAGGATTTTCAGAGCTTTGGGCGTCCTCTGTCGTATTGTCAAGAGTGATTTAGTGATGGAAGGTATCTAACAACTGATGACCGACGGAAAACGGACAAATGGAGGGGTGTCGAACAGATAATTTCAATCTTTGCTGCCCTGCCCGAAGCAATGCAGTCTGGGAAGCACTCGGCAAGAATTCCAAGTTTTTCGAACACATTTGAAGTGACGCGTAAGGAATCTTTCTCACAAGTACGCACGCCTGCGCACTTCCATGTTAACGCGGATGCGTAAAATAAAGAGGATATAAACATATAAAATGAAACATAAACTTTACCAAGTGGAAAAATAAGGTACAGGCTAGAATTCACGCATAAAATGCTAAACAAAGATGTTTCTTATACACGCAGACGTAAACATATTGTCTGCACGCACATAGTAAAAAAGGACATTATGAGATACACACGCACACACATGTTAATCTCTCTCCCCTTTAACTATCTATCTATGAATCTATGTATAAGAATTAATTTAATACACGCACACAAACACAGATATATATATATATATATATACATACATATATATATATATATATATATATATATATATATAGTTGTACATATATATATATATGTACAGTTGTATATATATATATATATATATATATATATATATATATATATATATATAGTTATATATATATAGTTATATATATATATATATATATATATATATAGTTATATATATATATATATATATATATATATATATATATATATATATATATATATATATATATATTAAAATAATAAGAAAGAACAGTATGCTTTATAATCCGGTGTTCTTAGAAGTTATTTTTATTTTTAATAAAACCCTGCTCGATACAACCAGTAGAGCAAAGTATTATAATTATTTTTAAAAAAAAAATCTGATTCCATCGCGACACGACACAGAAAATTTGTTTCAAAAATGAAACTAAATTTATAAATTATAAAAATTAAACTTAAAATCCATCGTCTCGTTCCATTGTCAAGCGATAATAGGAATAAAATTTCAAAAACAATTTACTTAATTTATGAGCGCAAACAATATTGATATTATGAGTTTTTAAGTTAAAGGAAAATCTATTTTAATTTAAGGGTTCCTGGGTTTTAATTTTAATCAATAATTTATCAATGTAATATCTCATCCAGTGAATATCCAGACATTCTATATTAGATGCACACGAAATGAATTCAAAAGAAGGTGGCGACAACCTCAAACATCCTTTGATAATAATAAATACCGAAATTAAACTTCCCTATTAAATTATTTCTGGAATTTAAAAGAAACCAATAAAACACCAACAGTAAAATGGAAATTAATGAGAAAAGCTAGAGATTGTATGTCATTAAATGACCAATGTCTCTTGTGCATACATGAAAAATTATACATTATTAAGTTTCAGAAAAATAAAATATTACTTAATTAAAGAAATGAAATAGCCTGTTTTGTTGGCACTGTCAAATATTCTCCTTAAGTAATAATTTATAAATTTAGTTTCAGTTTTGACACATGGACATTTCCTAGATAATTGTAATATATACATCCATATATATATATATATATATATATATATATATATATATATATATATATATATATATATAATGCATATTATATGTAAATTTTACGGTCATATAACATTTAAATATTTCCTCCGAACATTAAAAAGGTAATCTCCATTGAACCTGGTTAAAGGGCCACTAAAGAGATTTTTAACGGGAAGGATAAGAGAGAAAGAGAAAAAGAATAAATACAATTGAGAAACTGAACCGTGATGGAAAACTACTTGGTTTACTATATCTTGAAAGCTTGTGAGTGCTGATGTTAGAATGATTATCAGAACCGTAGCAGCTAGTGTGTGACGGGATGGTTGGCTGCCCCCAAATTTTTACGTATTGTAATATTTTTTACAGGGTTTTATTTTAACAAAATTAATAAAGAAAGAAAAACTATCAAAGCGAGGAGGTAATGGAATTTTTAAATGCTCTTACCGATAACCTGTTGTCAGCGTTTGATAACTTTAGGCTAAATTCTTGATTCTCGGCCCTGTATAAAAAATAAAAGATTCTAGAACCGAGATCAAATTACATTCAAATTAGTTACATTCACTTATGCAAAAATAACCGCATGCAAATTTATGAGGCCATATCTTCTTGCTCTGCCGCCAACTATGCATAAATAGCATGGAGAGACTGCGAACTATAGCTTTGTTTGCAAGCAGTCTAGGAGAGAAAAAACTCTGAACCCTAGCCAGATCAGAAAGGGTTGACAAAGGGCGGTCGATATTCCCACAGGAGTCAAAGATCAGCATGTATTTAGGAGATTGAAAACTCTTATCCCTCCAAAGATCCTGCGATTGTATTATCATCTGAGATATGGCGCGCAGTGCTCCAAAACAAAACCTGGTACTATGATGGAAAGTGTGTTCTTTGCAGGTTGCAAGCATCTGACCACTTTAATAATTCACTTGTCAAGTTTGATCAATAAAAACTAAAACCCATCCAACCATCTATCGCTCTATCTATCTATCTATCTATCTATCTACATACATATAAATATATATATATGTGTGTGTGTATAGGGGCATCTCAAGGCGATGTAATGGTTAACAAGCTTGTCTCGATTATGATTGAGCAGTGAGTTCGATCCGTACTGGGTGCCCCCTACTTTCGGCCTTGTGCCACATCAAAGATATGCTTGGAAGATCAATATATGTGTATGTGTTACATATATCCATGAATATAGCATATCTTAAATCTAGATTTTTATTACATATGCGTGTTTGTGCGTATATATATATATATATATATATATATATATATATATATATATATATATATATATATATATATATATGGATATTTTTAAAAAATTATGTCGTCTTACTTAAAACGTTACGTTCGTGAACATAACTTTCAGTAGGGAGGGGTCTCCTTGTTTTTAAACAATGTAAACCACGATTACTGCCTGCCCAGTCGACAGACTTAAGTAATGAACATGTGCTCCCCGATGGGGTTCGAACCTGTCTTTCTTCTTTTGTGAAAAACACTCCCCTACCTGATACTCTGTGTCCGTGAATTCTAAAGCATTAATGACCAGAAACGGTTTGTCTTACGAAGATATTTAAATATTTATATCCAGTAATCCTCTACCTTGATGACTTCTTGAGCCTTGTATTGGATGAATAATTGCAACAAAAAGACAAGTCTACCCAAGATATTAAACGCACAGTAGAGTGAAGAAGAGATGAATACATGTATTTTGGAAATGGTTTGAATACAACGGAGTAGACTTGAATTGGAAGTTAATGTCTCAACTTCTAACCGAGAAATCTTATGTTTTACACACAATACTTCCATCTAGCCTAAATCCAAAATACTGTAGTATTAAATATCAATTAATGTGTTCTTATATACTAGCAAATTCAATATGCAGTGAAAGGATTTCTGTGTATGAAATGAAATTACAAGACCAAACCACGATCCCAAAAGTGTACTCGTAAAGTATGTAAAAATATGTCATTTTCAAACAGTGATATATTCCTTTTCACAGAAAAATCAGTATTCTTAATATTCACAGTAGCGAGTGCTAAAAGATTTCTGGTACAGCAAAAGTCTCCAAATTATTATTTGAATGCCAAAGTCTTGAAAACTTATTCTGTAAAATTTTTTCAGCGTGACATTGTTGAAGTGATTACGCACGTATAGCATTATTTTTTTAGTTAAAAGTTATTTGAATATTAAATTTATTTAAATATTTAAAGATTAAATTTATTTAAATATTTTAATTTCTTTAAATATTACATTTATTTAAATTTAAATTTTATTTAAATGTTAAATTTATTTAAGTATTAAATTTATTTAAATAGTAAATTTATTTGAATATTTCCAAGGAAAAAATTCCACTCGGCTTCATCTCCAGAACAATAACTATGTGGAACGTGTTCCTAACCAGATGCTAACTAGACTACTACAAACTTAACCTCTTCAACTCTAGGGCCAACCCTTATCTATCTTATATATCCTTATAATATGCATCTCTACGTCCTTTAGACTAATTTGGCAACGCACTAAATTAAAGGGCTCTTGGGGCTTGTATTGTGGTAACGATTGTACAAGTAAATATTTAAGAAAGAAAATCGAAATATGCTTCTGCTAAAATGTCGATTTAACACAGCTTGCATCCTCGCGAAGTGGGTAACGTATCTTAACTGATGTGATTGTCCTGTTATGCTTTTCAACAGCAGATCATATTTAGCCCGTTGTATCGAGTCCCCTATTCTCGAATATAAAACCCATTGAGTCTTTACGAATTTATCGCTCACACAACCCGAGATTTCTCTCATAATAATATTTCTACATGATGATAATAGCACGCATTACCCGGCATTAATAAACGAACATTACATTAATAAATACAAAAATATCAGCTAATAAAATTATCACTAATACATTATATTTTATTTCTTTAATTTCTCGTAAGCATTCTTTGGTTACTTTTATTTTAATAAATTGCAATGTTGAATTGTATACGTGGACATAGAGCCAATTGTATAGGATACAATTTTCTACACAAAATGTAATCAATGCAATTATCAACTATTTTAACTGTTAAAAAAAAACTACAATTGGAAAATTATCCATACAGAGAGGAACAAATGGCGTTAATAAATGGATTTAGTAATCATTAAACCTGATAAACCGAAGCAGGTAGGTCTCATCTTATTACTGTTGAAATTGATAGAGGAAGCCGTAAATTTGATTCTCAAATTTTATTCACTGTTACTTCACTCTTCTTTCAGCTTATTGTTTTTCTGTAAGATACATTCTACAAAAATGTCAAACGTCACTTCATCAATAAAGTTTTGTCGGTTAATTTTGTACAGTAATATGCTGGGTTTTAGGTGATAAAGACTTCTTTGAGGGTTAGAAGATGAAAAACAGGCTTCCTTTCCCTCAAATACATAGGATTAAAAAAGTTCCGTTTTGGTAAAACTCTAAGAAATGGCATAAATACTTGCTGAATATTAAATATATACTCTACTTGAAAAAGCCGAAGAACATCAGACAAAATTGATTGTTGAAGAATAAAAAATGTGTACAGAAAATGTTTCGTATACTAAATAGTTTTGTAGTGAAATCGATCTTCAGGAGATGTCCTACTACAATGAGCTGTATTAGATAAAGTAATATAAAATTATTGTACACACACACACACACATATATATATATATATATATATATATATATATATATATATATAAGAAAAAAGTTTATGGTTGATCCAACGAGTTAAAAATGTATATTTTTTTTGTAAACAAAGTGAGAAACCTCAAACGTTTTCGGTTATAATGTTTTATAATGTTATAAAACAAATATTTTATAGTTTATATTATATTCTATTCTTCATATTTTTGCTACACGTTTTTCCCATCTCGTGATCTTCTTCTGGCAAATAAAAGGAATCAATTTTTAAAGGAATAAATTTTTCTTTTGTTCTTTTAATGTTTCATTCTTCGTTTTCTGTATTTTTTTAGGCTTGATCTCATTTCTGGACTGTTGGCAAAAGTGAATTTTTGCCCAAGTCGTAATAAAATCATTAAGTTTGGTCTGAGTGGTGGTAACGATATATGTGTTGATGAGAAATGTTTTCTCATTTTTTTTTTTAATATATATATATATATATATATATATATATACAGATGCAGACAGACTGTTTCGCAGATTGACCACAGATTCTCGATTGGATTGAAGTCAGGAGTGTTTCCGGGCCAGTCTATATTACTTTGGTAAGGCTTGCCAGTGTGTTCATGCAGCGTTATAACTTTCGTACGCTTCCTTAGAGTAACTACTATCGCAGACAAAGGCCGTAGGACAACTAATCGACAGTCGAGACAATAGTGCCTGGGCGTGATAAAAATCTGATGCAATCACGGATGACGAAATATTTTTCAAGGCCAAACAAATTTCATCATACACCCCGAAAACAGATTTACATTATTGCATACCACTACAAATGACTTAATCTGAGAAAAATATATAAATCGATTACACTATGTCACTCTAGTGTGTCTAAATCTGACCGTATGGAAAAAGAAAGGAAACTAAAGTGGTAGTTTTAATTACTTTGACAAGGATGCATGTGCTTTGTTTAAGCACTATTTTTTAATATTTCTCTATATTTTCTCATATCTTCTGTACAATATTTCTTGCGTATAAACTTTTCGCTTTCGTTTTAGCTCTTCATATTAGATGAAAACCTTCACATCCCAGCCAAAACAGAGCTTTCTTGAGTATAGTGATGATTATAACTAAGAATAGTTTCGCTGGCAATTAATATCTTCAATGACGAGCAGAGGGCAACTCTTAGATCATGCTGAGAATAAATGTGATGACGAAGGCTCCATTGAACAAGTTGAGAACGCATAAAGATATTTTGTGATAAAAGTGTGAGTTGTATTGAACGTTTTCCCATTCAGTTTCTCTCAGGATTTTTCTCATCTACGATCTGCAAAATCACAGTATCTGCAAAAGTCGGTTCTCTGGATAAAGGTAAGTCTTCAAGAGAACAAATCCGAAAACAGAAACTGGCCAAAGAATAGTTGATGTTTAAAGTTTTATTATTGAAATAAAACTTTAAGTGATCGTACATGTGCGTCAAAGAGAATGAATATTTTTGCTTCTTCGAATACTAAAGAGTCCTTTTTTGTATTTCATCCAGAATACAGATCGGAAACCATTTTCAGTGGTTGAAATGAAACTGTTTTTTTCCCTAATATTCCGTATTCTGCAATGAATGAAAAGACATCAAAATTTAAAATGACAAATCTAATGGTAATATTAACCGTTTCCTTATAAATATTCCGCATTCACTGACAGAGCAGCCAGTACTACTGTCGGTTGAAATTGCTAAAATATTTCTCTTGAAAAAATTTTTCATCTAAATAATTTTCTAAAAGGTCTCACATAGCTCTTTCCAGTATTGAAGGAAGCTTCGTTTTTAACATTTTGCTTGAAGTATTATGGAATTCAATCATCACAATTATATCATTATTTTCTCTTCAAATGACAAGTTAATATCTATTTTAGTAGTTGCAGCTGGGATGTGATTCCTCATATCTGATACAATTATGTGTTTGTGATTGTGTAGCACCATCCACAATATTCAAAGAAGGGTTGTATTCGCCAATATCTACAAGCTTTACTCGTTCAAAGCCATTTTCAACTATTGCTTCCCAGTAAGCTAATGGCTTATTTTAACTAAGTAGTAAAGATGTACGCTTAAGGCCATATCATCGTACGATCGTTGAAGTTAAGCAACGTTGAGCTTAGTCAGTACCTACATGAGTGACCGCTTGAGAATACTAGGTGGTCTAATGTAAAATGGTGTAATGGATGATCGTAAATGTTAATCGGGGAGATGAGTTTCGATTCCAGTCGGGTTCTTTATGTTTACTTACGCGAAAATATACTTAAGAAAGGTACGAGCCCACCTCCTCCCCCAAGCTATGGGTTAATTAGTAAGATTGTTATCCGTAATTCATTATTATCTGAAAAAGAAATCTTACAATCTAATAATATTTTCTGGATTTAAATACACAACAAAATGTTGACAATCCGTACAAACGAATCAATCAATCCTGAAACAATGGATCCTCAAACGGATCATGTCGAAAAAAGGCGACAGGACTTTCTTTCCCTCCTAACAATTACTTGACCTAATTAAAATATTTTTAAAAAATCGACTTTTTTAATGAACAAAAACATAAAAAAGTTTATGCTGAAACTACTTGATAAACTATGAATTGTACGTTGTGACAGAAGTAGTAAGTTCTTAAAGAACTCGAAATTTTAGGTAGATATGTTCTATGTCGTTTCCATTAAAACGCATAGCTTGTCCATTGTCATCAAGTATTAAGAGCGAAACGACATTTTATTCTATTTTATTTTTTGTCTGCATTTTCCCCGATTTCTCCAAGGCAATATGTAATTGGTTTAATATGAAACAAATGTCTTTCTTTCTGATAGCTTCTTGATGGTGAGTGACATCGAACCATTGCACTGACGTCGTAGT